TTTAAGAGATTAATTTAGAATTATTTTGTTGTTCCAAAATGGATTGCATAGTATATTTCAGTTTTCAAATTAAAATAAATGATTTATAATACATTTCAATTTGTATTATCTAAAGTTTTCATTTATTGAGTACTTTGTGGAAGCTATAAATATTGGTATATTATCTTCCAGTAATTTATAAAATTTTCTGCATAAATCTTTAGAAAAATATTGTGACAAGGAGTTATTTACAAAGGCCCAGCATGACATGATTTAAACATGAGCAAATTGATGAGCAAGAACAACTTTAAGTATTTTGTTTCCTATAAGGTAGATTTGATTTTAATGGATTTGACATTTTCTCACTGGACACAGCTTTTTTTAGGTTTATATTTAGGAGAGAAAGTTAAAATGTAAATTGAAATAACATTTACTTTTTATTGAATTTCCTCTCTGACGTGTATATGTTAAAGGATGTTTTGAATAGAGTAGGGCTCTATTCTCAATTTCATCTAAAATGATTATAATTATGTGACCAGCTTTAGGAACACATCATCACTATACTCAACAGTAATAATTATAATTTAATTTGGTTATCTATAAACACTTAATGAGCACTTATTATATTTCAGGTACCAATATATAAGCTCTCTATGTGTATTAATCCATTAAATATTAATAGCAACCCTAAGAGCTAGATCCCGTTAATATCCTCATTTTACAGATGAGGAAACTGAGGCACGGAGAAGTGAGTTACCCACAGCACACAATTGGGAAGTGGCGGAGCTAGGATTTGAGCTGAGTGGGTTCTAGCAAGATTACTCCCCCTGCCAAAGTAGGCAGGTGTCCCCGTGTGGCCTCCACGTCAGCGGCAGCATCACTGGAAACCTCTGGGAACTACATTCTCTGGCCAAACCGGAGGCGCACTGACTCAGAAACTCTAGGGTGGGCACGGACAGTCTGCTTTGACAAGCTCTCCAGGTGGATGCATGCTGTCTTAGTCTGTTTGGGCTGCTATGACAAAAATGCCACAGACTGAGTGGCTTAGAAATGACAGACATTTATTTCTCACAGTCCTAAAACCTGGGAAATCCCAAATGCAGGTGCTGGCAGGTTTGCGGAGGGCCTGCTTCCTGGTCTGCGGGCAGGCGTCTTCTTGCTGTGTCCTCAGACAGCTTAGAACAAGGAAGCCAAACCAAGGTCCCCTGTCTCTTCGGAGGAAACCAGCAATCCCACTGACGAGAGCTTTGCCGTCAAGACCTAATTGTCTACAGAGGCCCCACCTCCTGATTTCATCACATTAGGGCTTAGGGCTTAGGGCTTCAGCATTGAACTGGGGGTGGGGAGGACGCAAACATTCAGTCTGTAACGCACACTGTAGTCTGAGAACCAATGCCCAGATAAAGGAAGCATGGCTCTGCCTGGCCGGCAGCTCAGGTGGTTAGAGCATCATTCTGATGTGCCAAGGTTGTGGGTTCAGTCTCCAGTCAGGGCTCATACAAGAATCAACCAGGAAATGCATGAATAAGTGGAACGCAAAAACTGATGTCTTTGTCTCTCTCTTTCTCTCCCCACCCCCCATTTCCTCTCCCTCTCTCTAAAATCAATACACAGAAATTTTTAAGTGTTTTGAAAAATAAGCAGCATTGTTCTCTGGGTGGTCCAGAGGCCAGCAGTGAGTTGTACAGACAGTCATGTGGATATACAGTTGCCGTCGGTCTAGTACATGCAGCACAAGAGGAATGCGGAGGTACGGTGCCGGTGCCCAGGAGCGTATGAGGGAAACGGAAGGCTCTGCTTTTTTGAGCAATGAGAGATTTACACTCTAGTTTCAAAGACAGAGAGGAAGGGCGGTCAGGTCCAAAGCTGATCGAGTCCATTGGTTTTGCATGTTTGGAGTCCAAAGAAATAGTTCAGATGGCTGCAAGTGGTTCTGAATATTTTGGCAGGATCCGCGTAAGCACTGTAGCTACCCTCGGTTCTGCCTGCTCCTGACCATGTTTGTGCCTCTCACGTGCAGTATGTTACTCTTAGAATTGATGTCTACAAAGTAGTCAGGAGAAATCTTTCCAAAATACCTGCGGTACGATGTTCTCTTTTTGCCTAGAAAGGTAATTCAGTCTTAGATGTGAGAAAGGCTGACTTGCTAACAGCACGTGTTTCACCATCTCTAGCTTTGGGATTTAATAGCACCGAGCATTACAAGGCACGGCTATAGCTTGTAATAACCTAAATCGCTTAACCCATTAAGCGAATCAGCCCTTAATTTTCAGGGTACAGTGTTTTAGAAATCCTCCCACTAGACTTCCAGGCTAAACAGATTCTTTGCACTTTTCATTTTGCTGGAAACAGGGATTAGACAGAAGCAGCAGGGGCTGTCTACTCTTTGTAACATCTTTGAAGAGATGGCCCTGATAGGCACCACTGTTTCCAATCGCTTAAAAGGCAATAATTCAATTATGCCGTCCTTTGTAGAAGAGCTGCCATTGCTCTCAGTTCACTCGCAGGCCTGACACAAGTAAATCACTTCGATAAAAATCCCCCTTTTTCCTTCCTCCTGGAGACGGGAATAAGTAATGATACCAGTGATCTACCAAGGACAAAATGAATTAATGCACTTCTTATAGAAGAGCAAAAATTTCACAAGGCAGTGATGCATTGCGTTGTTTGGAAAATAATTTTGCTTGTGTGTGCATGTGAAAGCTGTTTGAGTGGTTTTATACGAGGGCACTTTGAGAGCGGATGCTGCACTCCGCTTTTGAACGCAAATGCTTGGGTTGCGCAGAGTCTGCGTCTATGGCAGGGAGAGGAAAACCCCTTAGTGAAACACCATGCACAGTTTGGGCCTGTTGGTGGTCGTTCCTCTATGACTATGCAAAGCGAAGATATTTTCTGGGGTATGAGAAGCAAGTCCCTTCCTCCTGTGAACATGACCGCATAATTCTTTTCTATGTCCACCTTATTAACAGTAAGAATGTGGCTCAGACTAAAGAGATACCAGGTTGAGTGTCCTCTTATGAAGGGTTGTCATTCTATAAGGGTTTCTCAGCTCGCTTGACTTTCTTCTTAATAACCCAGGTTAATCAAAAAGACAGTCAGTCACTCTCTAACGTTGCAGTGAATTAAGCCCTTGAATAAATGACCCCAGCTGGTAAGGCTTTGGGGGGTCCAGCCTTACCAGAGGCGGGCATACAAAGATGAAAGTGTATGGCAGTCGGCAAATTGATTAATTAGGGTCCATGTCATGCCAAAGGATCCTTTCCATTAATGTGTGTGTATGTGTGTGAGTGCATAATTCCATTTACTGTGCCTCTTAGTAAATGATAAAATATTTTCATTTCAACAAGTCTATTTAAGGGATTTAAAAAAACAAGTTATACTTTTAAACGAGTAGTACAGATGCATTAAAGCTTAACATTTTATCCTTTATTATAGATACAGTTTTATAATAGAACTGCAAATAAAGTTCTAGTCAAGTTCCCTGAGGACTTTAGCTTTCAGTCACTGAGAAAAATCCTCTTGTTTGGATCACATTGTTCTGAACTAGGGTTATTCTGGTGGGTAGAATTAAATTGGAGAAACTATAGTCTAAGACGATGAAACATTTTTATCTTCTTTAGCTATACTTTTATAGGCCACTAATATTTACTATCTCTTACATGCCAGACACTATTTTGGGCAATTCAAATGCCTTATCTCACTTAATCCTTGCATTCACAGTTCTTATCACCATTCCTGCTTTATTTTATTTTTTATAGCACTATCATCATCATCATCAAATATGCTGCATATTTTTTATTGTCCCTCTTTTTCCTCTAGCCTCATCCCTCATGGGGCATGGGTTATTAAGTTTTGTTTACTGCTATCTCCACAATCCCTAGAATAAAGGATAATAGGTACTCAATAAACATATATTTTTTGGATGAAAGCATGGCCCTGTGCGGCAGATTTCTTTTTACACCAACAGTTCTCTTCTCTTTGTTCGTTGGTAGGGTATTATTTCTTTTAGTACTTTATAATATGTAATTCATTTTGAATAAACAATACACATGACCAAAGTGCAAATGTGACTGAGGAATATATGTCGAGAAGCGCCTATCACACACCCCTTTTCCATTCATTCCTTAACGTGCCTGCCCCCTGGACTCACCTGGCGAGCTTTCTTGGTCCTTTGGTGCTTAATTTGGCATTAGTCTCTAGGCCACAACTATTCCAGAGATGTATGCTATATAAGCTAATCTGTTACCTACTTGTGCTTTTTGGCAAAGAAATTAAACTAAATTCACGCTGGCTTTTTTTTTTTTTTTTAAAGTGCATGCGCTCTTCAGTTTATAGACTATGTTGCAAGAGAAAAACCACCGTCAAAGATGACAGATCAATTTATTTGGGCGCCTCTATCCACTGATGGCTATGTATGTGTCCTTTGCACCTTTTCTGTAATTTTCAGTCTTAAAGCAACAAGGATCTCAGCACCCATTATCCAAGCTCTCCAGATTGTCATATACTCCATGGGTTCCCCCCTTTTGTTAGTTGAACGCTGAGTCTACCTGTGACTAATGATATTTTGAACTTTGGCCAACATTTTGTCAGACGTTGAGTCAGCACATTCCCCGCCATCCGCTGAGTATTGGCTTTGCATTCGTTACCCAACGATGTCAGTGAGAAGGTTCTTTGCAGCTCCTCCCAGTAAAATCACTCACTCGCCTTCCCCATAATTAAACTCCATCTTCCTGCGATCAGGTTTCATAGCGCTGTGTTCACCTCTTTATGCCCTGCTTTGTGGGATTTCAGGGGCTTGTCCCTACCCTATCCAGTTACGTTTGCTTGTATTCACATGCCTGCAGTCAGGTTTCTGAGAAGTCTACAGGGAGTAAGTGATACATGTTTGGAATGTCACCTTGCCGGGAAGTGGTGGTCTCGTGGCTGAGAAACTGTTGTCACTGACTAGTCAGTTCTCTGCAAGACCCATCTCCGAGTCCCAGCCCCTCGGCTCACGCGGGGTGTGCTGCTCTGTTGCCCAGGGAGAGCGTGGAGAGCCTGATCCAGAAGCATTCCTACGCCCGCTCGCCCATCCGGACCTACGGGGAAGAGGATGTGCTGGGAGACGAGGTGCAGACGGCGCAGAGCCGAGGTGAGGGGCTGCCGGGCGCCCGGGCGCACACCGCCGGGGGCCGCAGGCAGGCCGGGCAGGAGGCCTTGACCTCAGGGTGCACGTGGCCCCCGACGTATCTCAGGTGCCCCTTCAGGGAGGGACAGCCCTGAGGCTGATCTTCACCAGTTCCTTATTGTGCCCTCGCGTCCTCGGTAATGCTGCTGCTGGACCGCGTCCTGCCGTCTTGTTTTGTAGCAAAAGGACCTCGAGCCTCTGAGTCAGGCTCAGGGCTAGGAATTTTACACCGGGAAAATTCCATGTGAACTCTTGTTCCAACTTCTGGATGCTACATGCAAGAAAAAGTTACTTTGTAACTTGTCAAATAGTTAATAATTATGGAAGCTAAAAAAAGAGAGAAGAAAAGAGAAAACACTCTTGTGGGTTCTCAAAAGGGCTTTGGAAACTGAGTAACTTTGTGAGGCTCCTGTGCCCAGCCTTCTTTATGCAGAAGTCAGGACAGGTGCCAGCGACCTGGAGCTCCTTTAAAGGGAATGAGTTAGTTACCTTCGGGTAGGGTACCTGTGTTTCGGCCACTGCCTGGGAGTACGCAGGCCGTCTAATGAGTTGTCTTTCCTTAGTCAATTCTCTCTTCCACATATGGTGGAAATGATTTTTTTATCTGGAAAGGTAGATCTGCCTCAGGGTTGACAGGTTTGTCTTTTTGAATTGCAGATCTATGACACATTTCTTAAAATACGCGCGTCCTTACAGATCCTGGACCTCTCGATTTGCATGTGGAGAAAGAACTTCCCGTCTCATGAGGTGTTTCCCCTTTCAGGGTCGGCCTTCACAACATCCGATAACTTGTCGCTCAGCTCCTGGGTATCGTCTTCATCCAGTTTTCCTGGATTTCAGCACCCGCAGTCCCTGACCGCTCTGGGCACCAGCACAGCCTCCATCGCGACGCCCATCCCCCACCCCATCCAGGGCTCCCTGCCGCCCTACAGCCGGCTGGGGATGCCTCTCACGCCCTCGGCCATCGCCAGCTCCGTGCAGGGGGGCGGCCCGGCCTTCCCGTCCTTCCACATGCCCCGGTACCATCACTACTTCCAGCAGGGGCCCTACGCAGCCATCCAAGGACTGCGCCACTCCTCCGCCGTGATGACGCCGTTCGTATGACTCTTGTAAGAACAGGAGACTCCAAATCCAGAATGTGCAAGTGGGTATGGAAACATAGGACAGGGCTGGGTGGGTGGGATGTGGGTGTTGGAGCCAGGGCTCTGCAGGAGACGCGGGATCTCACATGGAGGAGAGCTGGACTCACAGTGAAGCCTACGGCTGAGGGAAGGCGCTGCGGACCAGGATGCATCTGTCGTTGTCGGGGTGGCCCTTGGGTTTGAGACAGAATCACTGTAAAGGCCTAAGTCCTGCAGCTAATAGGGTATCGACTTACCCAGAAAGTTTAATAACATGAAGCAGATGAATCTTAACGTGCATTACTCCTAGCAGTTAAAAATGCTGTGCCGATGCAGTAACGTATAAAGTCAACGCGCGGAGGTTTTCTTTCTGCTTTCCACGGGTTAAAAGAATCCTCAGAGAGGCAATACTACATAACATACCAACCGTAATGCATAATGACTAACTTAAGTCCATTTCTCCCCGTAGGAAATGAGAGCCAATAGAGAAGTATTTGTAGTGCTGTAGCTTAAGCATGTTTGGTTTTCCTTTGTGTTACTTTGCGGGAGGAGGAGCCGAGATGATGCTAACGCATCCTATTTCGTGGATGAACACTTGGTAAAGACTTCACTAGTCCTTTTTTGTAATACAGAAGGGCCAGTTCCTGACAAGCTCTTTTTCATAGTCTTGTCTTCTTCTTAATTCTCTTTCTTGCAATTACGTGCCATGTATGGAGGAAAAATCTTCGATATACAATGTTGAAGGTAGAGGCTCTATGTGTTACATGGTGAAACCGAGGGTTGGTTTTTCTGGGCTCCATTCTCAATCCACTGCTGCTGAACCCACTGAGGGGGCCCTCGGGCCCCTCCGCGGGGGCACACGGGGCTTCCTCCACTCGCAGCTGCGGCAGGGAGGTGGCTTCCCGGTTCGGAAAGGCATTGCTCGGCTACGGATGCCGAAGGCCCCTTCATTTTGGGAGGCCTTCTGGGCGTTCAAGGGCACTCGACCAAATTCTCGTTTTTGGAAAATCTGCCTTCTTGTTAGATTAGCTGCTGTCACTGACCGACAAGGATCTGCGCAGGAGCCTCTCTGTGCCCGTGCAGCCGCCGTTCACGCTGTGCTCTCGAGGGGCCAGTGTCCACGCGACCCGACTTGCCCTTGTTTTCTTACCGTTACATTCGGTGGCTCCTTTACATTTTACTAGTCTATTATATGAAGTTCCATGTTAATTCAGTGCCTCCCTGACCGAAACGTTGCTTAGAAGTAAATCTAAACATTTACCCACCTTGTTTTCAGCTCCAGCTGTCTTCTTAATCCTTCCTTTAATGGTGTATGGTAATTAATTATATTTTAGTTATATATAATCTCTATTATTTGGGGGCAGCATCGTATATCTAAACATTTAACTGTCAGGGTAGTACATGTGGTATTTTGCAACAGTTCATTACCCTAATAACAGAAATTTAATGAAGCTTATAGTCCTTTGACTTTAGACACAACGCAGTCTAACTGTAGGATAGAACCTGTTTTCTTCACAAAGCTCCCCCAAACGGTTTTAATTTAATTTACACGTTCCATGGAATTATTCATTTTACTCTGTCTGACTGCAGAAGCATTGAGTCTGTTCAAAGAGATGGGAAACATTGCTTCTGAGAGTAGAGATGTATTTTAGAGCAAATGCAATATACTTATCACAACAGACTCCAGTGGGCTTTTATTGGGTGGTTTTAACGTTAGGCTTTTCCCTATCAAATGCCTTTCCAGCTTAGGGAACAAGGCAGAGTGGCGTAGCCCGCCTACAGCACGCTGTCGTTGGACGTTGCAGCTGCCGTCCTGCGCCATGTCCTGGAGGTCATACGTGGGGAAGCGTGGGCTGTGGTAACCAGGCGGAGGGAGGTCCTGAGGCAGATGCTGTAGGGAGACCCGTCTGCAGCTTCTGGCATGTGAGGCTGTTGTGTGCACAGGTAGTATTTCTTCAAACACAGCACAGACGGGCATTTCCTTTAAAAAGTGGTTATGACGGATGTTTAAATACCCATAGAACTTAGGATAGGGAGTTAGTATTTAAGAGCTGGCCTGTTGCCAGTGCCCCTTTTAAGATACAGTGTGGCCACCCAAAGCAGGGACAGCACAAGGGCATGCCGTTTCCCATGACGCCACCTGATGCCCTGGGAAACCAGAGGTCTCCTAAAGCAAGTCGCGTCTGAGTTTCGTTTTCAATGAGAGTGGAGGGATCATTTCAGTCCTATTCTGATGTTTTGTTTCCGATTGGTGTGACTCAAGAGTAGGGTGTGCGTTTTTATTAAAGAGGATTTCACGCCTGTATTTCCTGACTTTGTAATGCTATTTTGTAATTAAGCAATAAGACTCAAAATAAGCGGCGTGCTTAGAGAAAAGACTAAGGTATCAAAGCGTGCTATTGGAAAAATCACACCTGAAATTCGACATCCGATCTATTTTTAAGTGTTAGGCTTTATTTGAACAGAATGAAAAAGCACAACTGAAACGGAGCCCAGCTCATCCGAGTCACTGCGGCTGTTGAGAACCAGGGGTGGAAATCTACCCCCGCCACCCCTGCAGGATCCTAGTGAGCGATTCGGGTTATTGATTCTTACGTAACTCCTCGGGTATTTAAGATTTAAACTGTTAAGTCTGTCTTACCGAAAATAATTGCAACAGATAATTAGCAAAAAGCCAAGTGACTAATAAAGAGCATGAGTTATAATACAACGGGAGTGAGTTCAGGGTCCCCTCCACGTATATCACAGTGTCGACAGGCGTGGCCGACACGCAGCGTCGCTAAACGGAGGCCCTGCCAGAACTGCTTTGTTTTACAGGAAGGAGTGAATTCATAACATAATAGGGCCTGTGTGTATGATTTGTTTTAAAAGCGTCTATCAATAATTCCGAATTCTGTTATTTCTCTTAGTAAGTCTTCCCCCTTTCCTGCCCACCCTTGGCAATGTAAAGACAAGCACGTCTAGCTTCTGTCGAACGCATCACAAAGGAGGAGGCAGCAAGGTCTACATTAATGACCTTATGTTGCCTTGCTGGCCCTTTTGAGTACGTAGCCGTGGGATGTGGTCTGGGAGGTCTGCCCCCATTCCTGGGAGGTGGGCCCAGAGGACGGGCGTCTGAGAAGGAAACCCGGCCGGCGTGGGGGTCGCACCGATCTCTGGGGCGTCCCAGGAGCTCCCCTCTGCCACTCTCACCGGCATCTCTGTTGTCACACAACATCCCACCCCACCCCAAAAGGAAAAGGAGACCCCGTAAAAGCCCGGAAATAAGTATCCTTAGAAGTAAAGCGTCCCCATCCCGCACTCCTGCCTGTGAGTTTTTCAGCAAGATGTTATGACACTCATCCCAGTTCTGAATTCCACGGTTGCTCTTCAGGCTGGGCTCCTTATATTTGAGCTGAATTTATTGAAAAAATAAGCCTCTAGGAAAGTGGGTAAAGTGACTTTACCATCTCGTTAAATACGCAGTCAAGCTTAGCTGTGACTCAGAAACTAAAGTTCAAAAATTCAGTTACATAATGTGCAGGATCCCATGTTGTAAGGAAACCAGTATTTTTACTCGATCTTCTATTCACTAGGTAAGGAAAACTGTTTTCATTATTAAACGTGTATGCACTTGATAACACTTACAGGTAAAACAATATTATACCATAAACCCTAGACGGCGTGGGCAGCATGGAGCACTAGGCAGGAGAGATTTTCTGCTGGCTGTTTCAGAGACTCACGCTTGGCTAGACAATGGATTTTATACATTTCTATATTATTTCAGAAGGCAAGGATTTTATGTAAACAAGCAAAGGGAGGGCCACAATCTCTTCAAACTTGAGAAAATCAAAATCCCTTCTTCACTACTGTCCATTCCATGCTGGTTACCAAATATTCCAATACTTAGCTTTCTTCAGTGTGCTTAAATATGCAAAGGTTCATTTATAGCTGTTTGATAGGCAAGTATTCCAAGAGCATTTTCTGGCCCTTCTTTCTCTGCCCATGCCTTAAATAATTCCAGTTTCCTCCCCCTGATGATAAACGAATAAAATCATTTTGGTGAAATAATACATCTGGACAAAAAATACAATTTGTTTTATTTTATTTCCCGTACATTAAAATGCTGTATTTAGTTGTTCTTTTTTTCCTTCTTATTTTCAGAAACCTAAAAGAAGGTCTTTGATTTCCTAAAGGGAAAAAAATTCTATTAGCCTTTTTAGAAGACTCTTATCACCATTCTGTTGTTTGCAGTGTTCATTTGCTTAACGAATTGCGTGAGAACAGTCACTATAATGAAGTGTGTGTGTGTTGGGGGCTGGGGGAAGGGCATGGGAAATGTTTTATGAAAAAAGAAGTTATAAGCCTAATACTATGAAGTAACATCTAACGAAGTTCTTTTTAAGTGCAATATATTTATTTCTGCTAGAAATGTATTATCGACATTATGTAATATTTGAAGCATTACATGTTATTTGTAAACAGCTTAAAATTATATATTACCCGAAGTTGTACAGAAGTACAAATGTGTGCATATCAATTTCTTTCATTAAAAATGGTGTGTTTTTGATACATATACACACATTTACACCTTTCATTATATGGCACCGTTTGCTTCATGACTTTTGGTACCTGCTTCCTCTCTTGAAATAAAAGGAGTGGGGGCTAGGTAAGGTGAGAAGTCACCACGGGCCACTCCCAAGCCAGACACAGCCCGCTGGATTACTGCACAGGGTTTTGGCTTTGCCATGGGAAACCCATAGAGAAGATACTGCTCGCAAGTCCCCACTGGTTCCAAATTTCTATACACAGTCCCCTTCACTCATCGCGTTCCCGATGAACATGAGAATGCTGGGACTTTGGCCTCTGCACAGAACGATAGGAAGGCTCCCTAAAGCTCAAAGAACCCCTACATCTCATCCCAGTCCTGAGCTCTTGGATGTGATGTAATGACATTGCGCAGCCGGCTGACACAGAATAAGATTAGCCAAATTCAGTCTTCAT